ATTGTCACCAATTATACTTGACCAATACAAATATTTATGAGTAATTGCATTTAAAAAGAAAATATCACATGAACTATTAAAAACCTTGATTTGTTGATTTAAATATATCAAAGTATCAACAAAAAAAACATGAACCAATTAATTAATACATCAATTTGTAATTTTAAAAAGTATCTAAGAAGATAAGAGACACGCACTATCAAAAAGTTAGCTTGATCGTTTACCTCCATGATTGTCTATTGTTGTCGTTCACATGTGAATTTTTATAATATATTTTACTATTTTAGGTTGTTTTACCGTTTCCACTACTGTGTTTTTTTTAAAAAGTTGCGGATTTGGCCCGAAAAGAAATATTACGTTTTTTCAGTCCCTAAAATAAAGTTTGCAGCACTTTTCATCCTTCAAGTGGAATAAATAAATAAATAAATAAAAGCAATGCTTTGTAAAATAACTATTTTGCTCTTATTTTAAACTGTTTCCTAATTGACAACCAAACATCACTTAGTCAATTAGCAAATATGATCTAAAAATAATTTTGCAGAAAATTACAAGAAAAAGATAAAGGTGACATTAATAAAATAAATATGTAAAAATAAAAATAAATAACAACAAAATTAAATGGTCAAGACCAAAGAGAGACCCAAGTTGACAGACTTTCTGGCAAACTCGTCCTTTGAGCCATTACAATGGTGGAAACTCAACTATCCCAGCCTCCCAGGTTTCACGAACTATAGCCAATTCCAAATCTCAAAAAATTCATTGAACTTCTTACAATGTCTTAAGAGAACTAAAATTTTGACTTTTGGAAGAAATTGCTCAAATTATAAGCATAGACTTACACATATCATCATATCAAATGTTAATGAGTAAATAAAAAAGTTAAATTACGTCTTTTCTAAAAACATTAAATATCTTCTTAGATCTTGGATGATAATACTTTTATTAATAAATGTTTATGAAAAAACTTAAATATCGATGGGTTGCACCAGTTGAGTAACAAATTTCCTGTACTATAGTCGAAATGGATCATAATGACCGTCAATCTTTTATGTCCTTTATTTTAAAGTTTTTATTAATTAATATATCAAATATGATCATCAAATTATATTATTCAAATAATAATCTATTGGTTCTACATTAAAAAGGTTATGATACTAATTATACTAGAATCTAAATGCACTTCAAACAATTTCCTAGCGACTACATTTGTTTGACAAATTTCATTTAAACTGATTTTTTTTTATTGGACACGTTTCACCCCTTACCGATAAATTATACCCCAAATCCACTCATTTTCATAACAAATAATTGAAATTACCATCAAAGACGATGAGTTAGTGATTTTTTAAAAATATACCGAAGAATAAAACATATGAACGGTTAAAGTGTTTTTACTAATTACTGTAGTTAGTTTATTTTTTATTTTTTAAATCACAGTGTTTTTCCTATTGATCGATTAGTTTCTTTTTCACCTATATCTTTTAATGTTCCCATTAACCGACACTGTTAAACTTACTAATGGCCTAGCTATTATCTTATATATAATGAGAATTGCATGTCGACCATAAACAATTACAAAATAAAACCCATTTTTCATGGCTCCATACATGAATCACTTCAAGTTCTTGCAAACCATCTCCTTCCTATATGTGTTGGTGACAGTGAAGAATGTGACTGGATCATCATTAAGCCATGATGAAGAATGCTCAGCCTTGTTTCAGTTTAAGCAGAGCATAATTCATCAAGATGATGTTGCTTGTGGTGCTCATGGATCTCAAGTGTTTCATTCTTGGAACAATAGTTTTGATTGTTGTTCATGGGAGGGGGTGGCATGCAGCCATGACCATGATCAGTACTTTGGTCATCATGTGATGGGTCTTGACTTGAGCGAGAGGTCTCTTTGTGGGCATATCAACTCCAGCAGCACCCTCTTCAGCCTTGTTCATCTTCAGAGACTCAACCTTTCTGGGAACGACTTTGGTGATTCTCAAATCCCATCTGAGATTGGTCGTCTAAAGCAATTAAGAAGCCTCGATCTCTCTTATTCTTGGTTTAGTGGCCAAATCCCGAATGAAATCTCGCAGTTGATTCATTTGTCTTCTTTAGACCTGTCAGGGAATTCACTAAAGCTTCACAGTCCTAGCCTCAAGAACCTGGTGCAATACTTAACAGGACTCAAAGAACTTCATCTCTCAGGGGTTGACATTAGTTCTTCTGTACCTCATTTCTTGGCCAACTTTTCTTCTTTGAAGTCACTCAAGCTACGAGATTGTTCTCTTAAGAATAAATTCCCTGCAGCCATACTAGAGCTACCAGAGTTAAAAGTTCTTGATTTGGCATTCAATACCGACCTCACTGGTTCTCTTCCTATATTTCGTAACATCAGCTTACTTGAAGAAGTGATACTAGATTTCACAGATTTCATTGGGATTGTACCAGAATCCCTAAGCCACCTTAACCATCTGACTGTCTTGTCCCTTAATGATTGCTATTTCTCGGGGCGCATTCCACGTTCACTCTCTAACATGACGCAACTCACTTACTTGGGTCTTGGTGAAAATCACTTCACAGGTTCAGTTCCTTCCTTGGTAAGTCTTTTGAATCTCGATGGTTTGGTACTTGATGGAAACAAATTCGAGAAAGGACACTTTCCCAATTGGCTTGGAAAGCTGACTAAACTAAGTGAGCTTGATCTGTCTGATATGAACATAAACGGCGAAATCCCACTCTTTCTATCCAACCTAACCAAACTTAGTGAGGTAGGAATGCCAAGAAATTCTCTTACCGGTGGTATACCATCCTGGTTGTTCAACCTCACCCAACTAACATATTTAAATCTTCTGATGAATCAATTGCAAGGACCAATTCCAAACACATTTTCCAGCCTCAAAAGTCTTGAGTATCTTCACCTAGGGTCAAACAATTTCAGTGGTAGGGTAGAGCTCGACATGTTCCTAGGACTCAACAAACTTCAAACATTAGGCTTAGGTTATAACAGGATATCATTAGTAACCACCAACAACTACACCAATACCACTTTACCAGAATTGCATAAGTTAGGACTATCATCATGCAACTTGAAGGAATTTCCTGCCTTTTTGCACTTCCAAAATAAATTGAGATTCCTACTTCTTGACGTCAACAAAATTGATGGGCTGGTACCGGTGTGGATCTGGAACAACAGCCGGGAAACATTAGAGCTGATTAACCTTTCACACAACTCCATCACTGGCTTTGATCAGCAACCTCATTTTCTCCCATGGAGAATTTTAGAAGTATTTTTTATTGCCAACAATCAGCTACGAGGACAACTACCAATTCCACCACAATCCACAGTTGATTATCTAGTCTCACATAATAATCTGACAGGAGAAATACCACCATCGATATGTGAATTGAAATCTCTTCAATACTTAGATTTATCTTTTAACAACATGAGCGGAACACTTCCTTCATGTTTGGGCATCTTAAGCAATTCGTTAGTATATTTAGATCTGAGACGAAATAATTTCCAAGGCAAAATGATGAATGGTTTTATGCCTGGAAGCTTGCTGGAAAACCTTGATTTGAGTGAAAATAGATTTACGAGTCAGCTGCCAAGATCATTGAGACATTGTACCAATTTAGAGTTTCTTTCTCTTGGAGATAACTCTTTTCATGACGTCTTTCCTTCTTGGCTGGGAACTCTATCCAACCTTCAGGTTTTGGTTCTGCGGTCCAACAAATTTTATGGTTCAATTCAAGGTTCCTCACAGTTCCCTAAGTTGCGGATCATAGACCTCTCTAACAACAATTTCAGTGGTCAGTTGCACCAAAACCACTTCCAAACATGGCATGCCATGAGCTCCAACCATCTTGGTGTTTCATCTGTTATGGAATCAAATATATCCTCTAAAAATGTCAATACACATTGGCCTTACACCGTGACATTAACACACAAAGGTGTCAGAACAGAGTACGATCAGATTTTAACCATAGTTATGTCCATTGATCTCTCTTGTAACCATTTTGAAGGAGAAATCCCAGCATCACTCCAACATCTTCAAGGGCTTCAATCGCTCAATCTTTCCAACAATCATTTTACTGGACGTATCTTGCCATCTTTAGGAACCTAACAAATCTTGAAGCTTTGGATCTCTCTCGAAACGAACTATCCGGGGAAATTCCTCAAAAGTTGGTGCAACTCGGCTTCCTTTCCATCTTCAATGTGTCATTCAACCATCTTCAGGGGCGTATCCCACAAGGAAAACAGTTTGATACATTCGATAACAGCTCTTACATAGGGAATCCCCGACTGTATGGACGACCTTTATCCAAGGAAGGTCAAGATTTAAAGGTTCCAGGAGTTCAACCAACAAGCAATGTGTCCGAGTCTCTCTTCCCGAGTGAAAGAATTGATTGGATCTTTGTATTCTGTGGAGTTGGAAGCGGTCTGGTTGTTGGGGTTGTTATTGGAAACTTTCTATATGAAAGGTATAGTTATCGGTTCACAAAGAGGAAGGACAGATGGGTAAGGCCACTTCGTAACACGAGGAGAAACTAAGGTACAATATTGATTCTCGCAGCAATTTTTCAAGATAATAATTTGTTTATGTGTATGTAGTCTCAACCAAATGGAAAATGTTTTTGTATGTCATCCAGAAAAGTATAATGCTTCTATATATGTTTTTAAACTTATATTTTTAAATTAAAGTAATCCTAACAATATCTTTTAGAGATTAACTGTCATACATTTTAACTTTATTGTATTATCAACAATTACTTGACTTTTTTTGTAATCTGGCTCATTTGTCAAAAGATTCAATTAACTTATATGTCAAGTCGATTATGCATTTTAGCAAAGAAAGTCTTATTAACATATTTAACTTAAAAATAATAGAGAATAAATCTTTTTATTTAAGCTTGGATAAGTTACGTGTCGAGTCCATTAGTTATGTGATGTCGGTTTATGTTTTAAACATGGTATTTATTTATAATAAGTTCATCATAATATCTATGACAAGAATGTTACTTTTTGAGATGTTATGATATAGTTTCTGAGACGACATTTTACTGTGGATGAAGCATTTTCTATAGTTAGTCAGGAGGCGTCATAGCTTAAAGTTCGAAGGGTATGGAGAAGTTGTTGAAGACCTTCAAGGGATTTCAATTTGTTATACCATGTATAGTAAGTGTATATTACGTTTAAGTTTGTGCTTGTATGAATTAGATTTCTTGGAGTAGACTTTCACTATAAGATTATGATGTATCATACAGTTCCATTGTTTAAGTTTATCGTTTATGCATGATGGCATGATCATAGACTCTTATGTAAGCTATTGTTAAGTATTTACAACCTCAACCTCAACCTTAGATCTGGGGTTGTGATAGTATGAAATTCATGTATATTATATACTTTCAAATAAAATTCATGTATATTGTATGTTTTTGAATTAAATAAGTGAAATTCATTGTTTGTATAAAATGTAATAATTCTTTTAACAATAAATCAATGTTATTACTCGGACTATTTCAATTGATTTCACTTGAACTGCACAAATACCTTTTAAACCTCAATCCAGAAATTCAGCCACACGAATATGTTTTCATCCATTTTCTTTCATGATTTCAAACCCTTTCAGTTGACTTAACAGCTAAAAATCCTGTTCTCGAGTTTTAAAATTAAGGAAAAGAAAGGGAATGAAGAGAAGGATATTAGTACTAAATACACTGAAGCCATAAAGAGGTTCCACCCATGAGAATAACCATGCAGTCTATGAATAGTGAATTATGCACTCCAGTCTCCAAATCTTCATATTCAATGAATGGTGCTACTTGTTTTTGTTATAAAACATATCGCCAGTTTTTATATATATAATAAGGTAACATTAAGAATCACCTGATGCGTCTTCATCCAATGACCTGAAGTAGTGGGTTCAAGTGCAGATATTTTCTGTAACTTATCATGTTTTCAATCACTATTAACATAACCAATTCTATATAAACTAAAAGAAGGAACAATTATTGATTTGAGATAACAAATATATAGAGCAGCAATGCGAAAATTTGTTGTTGAATCATACATAAAGTACAGGTAGAACAATGAAAACATTACATAAGAAGCGACCTAGGCATTTCATCGAATACGTGGTGGGCGGTGACCAGAACTTCATCCTGCATAACGGTGAACATCTTAGTCTTATCACCAAATCCTCATGGTACAATAACTTGGATTTAGGTTCCAGCGTCTCTACATCCACATTATTATACTCTATATACTTGTCCTATTCTTCTGTCGTCACTTCTTCTGACTCTATACAGATTTCTGAGAGCTGGTGGTAGCTAGTGTTGCATTGACGCTTGATTTGTAAGCAAAGTGTGGCTGTGTGGGATAAAGAAGATGGTGAGAAGTCGAAAAGGGTAAAGAGATGTGGAGGTGTCCATAAGTTGATTTAAAGGCATTTAAGGGGAAGTAGCAGGAAGTGGAGGTGGAGGTGGATAAAGATAAATCAAGGAAACTGAAAATGTCATAAAAGTAAGGAGGAGTCGACCCACACCACCCCGAACTCCTCAAGTAAAACCAAATAAAAATCACTCAAGCCGTTAGACCAGCCACTCGTTTACCATGGTTTACTAAATGTTTACAACTAAAAATATGTGAAAGCTTTGTAAAAATTCTGTGAAAAATATTTTTGTAAAAAAACAAAGGCTGTAAAAATAAGATGTAAAGGAAGGTGTAAAAAGATTCAAAAATATGAAAACGAAGTTGTAAAAAATAAAAGAACATATGAATATAAAGTTTGTAAATAATTTGGGAAAATTTTGAAAAAAAAAAAAAAAAAAAAAAAAAAAAAAAAAATTATAACAAAAATTAAAACTTGGGCATTATAATAAGAAAATGTTTTTGGCAAAGTAAATAAAAGGACCGAATTGTAATAAAAAATAAAATTTGGTCAAAAGCTATAAATAAGCACAAGTTGGGATGGATTTGGGCCGGGTTATGTAGGGTAGATTGGTTGGGTCCAAGTATTTCTAGCTGGTTGTCAAATAAAAAGAAAAACTGTCCAACTCCCGACCTCCTGAAGATAATCAAAAAGCTCTTACAATTTGCTCCAAAGATAGTTTTGGTTTATAATAAAATGTATCTTAATTAATTTCTTTATACTCTTGATAGAATGATCCCGAATAGAAAGTTTATCTTAAAACCATATAGGGATGAGCATCCAGACTGGACCTGAACCTGTCCTTAAACCTGGATCGATACCTGTTTTATCAATTCTTGGATTGTCAATTTTTCGATTCCGTTTTTTTAAACAGTTCCAAGTATTCGATTAGTTTGTTCTCGAATTGTACCACATATAATGAATGTTGTACTGGCCCAATGCAATGAATGTACCATACACTTCATTGAATTGCACCACACGTAATGAATGTTGTCTGTCTAGAGTCTTTACATTCCTCCCAAACTGGTTTCGGTATCGGTTGGGTCCAAATGCTCACCCATACAACCAAACCTACGAAACCGGTGGAATTAGATTCAAATTTCCTAAAATTTCATAGGTATTCCAACCAACCAAACAACCCCTTAATATAATTTAGGTTATTTTACCGTTTGCTTCACCCTGTTTTAGGAAAAGTATGGATTCGACCCCGAAAAGGACGTTTATGTTTTCATTCTCCCAAATAAATGTTTGTGGCGCTTTTTTTATCTTCATTATCAATAAATTAGTATTCAAATTAACTTATTCTCGTATAAAACAATTAAGATTGCACCAATTATGCATTTATGCTTAACCAATAAAACGATTTATGATCGGAATTGCATTTAAAAAGAAAGTTGATGAGGCAGTAAAAATCTTGATTTGTTATTTTAAAATATATATGTGAACGAAACAAACATAACCATTCAATACCTTGCTTCGTGAATTGAGATTTTAAAAAGTATCTAACGAGTAAACAGACATACAATCAAAGAAGTTCGTGTGACACGTTTGTGATCGTCAATTTTGCTACATTTAAATATTTAATAGATAGAGAAAGATGTCGAAGTCTTCCACTAGCGGTAGTTTGTATTTAAATTTATATATTTTAGACTAAATTATACGTTTGGTCCCCGTATAGTTTGTCAAAACAAGTTGATTCAGTACAACTATCAAAGACTCTACGCGATAGGTTTATGTGATTTCATTTTTTGCTTGGTTGATACTTTAGACAAGTAAACGGGATAATATCCTATATGCTATTATTAAACATCGAAATATCGTATTTACCTAACCTAATTTCTAAATATCATAAATATTGTTCATAAGCTTTCAAAATATCATAATTGCCCAAATCCTTATCTTTAACACTTTTAAATATTTTATAATCATTTTAAATTTGTATTTTTATTAATTGATTATTATACCCTCAATACTTTTTGGCACAAATAAATAAAAAATGTAACATTTTTCAAAGGAAGGGTTAGGTCAGCAAAATCACAATTTATTTTGGCTATAAAGTTAGGTTTTAAAATATGAGTATTGTGCCTACAGAAGTGATCTCGATTGGAGACAAATTTCTTGCATTGGCACTGAATTCATAAATCCGTATCTAAACAAACCCTTGGAATCATGATTTGTTTATTCTATAAAGTGCATTACAGAATATTTTATAAAAAATATAAAAAGCCAGCAGGAGAAGTATAAAAGAAGAAACCGAAAAGAAGCTAGCATGAGAGATCCCAACACCAACTAAAAATCTATGAGATACATGTAATGATCAACTTGATTCCAAGTTTTGGTCCAAGGGTAAAATAGTCATTTAAAATGAATTTAACTGTTTGAGTTGTTAAATTTAACGATCAAGGGATCAAAACCAATACAAAACCTTGCAATAAGGACTGAAATTGCAAAATAAACATTCTGGGACCAAAACCCTAGAAAGTGCTAATCTCATGGACCAAAACTGTGATCAGCGTTCAGAAAGAAAACTTCTACTAATCTTCTAACAAGAGAATGATTTCCAGCCAAAACTTCTAGTGGCATGGTTCTAAAGTCATTATAGATAGAATCAATCTTGTTTAGTGGATGATATGGCCCAAAGTCTTCTCAAAAGATGAAGGGACTATTATATATACCCTTTGGAAGCAAAGCCTCTAAAATCTGCAATTTTTGCATAAACATAATTCAAAACATTCCAAGATATGAACTTTATTAAGGGTGTCACATTGAAAGCTATATTGCAGAATAGGAGAAAGAGGAAGGGTAAAAAAAGTAAATTTAGTTGGAATTTTTAATGGTTAGAATGGATACTTGGATACCAGAATCATTTACCAATAACTGGTAAAACAATGTCAGCTTGCATCTGACAAGTTCAAATGGTGATCATATTAAGCATGACTGAAGATAATACATTGTTCAAGTACATATAATCAACTCAAGAATCAGGTAAAGTAAGATAGAATGGGAATACCTTAATTGCCTCAGGCATTTCATCGAATGGCTTGTATGCATGTTTCTCATCCAAAATCAATAACCTTCTTCAACCTTTCCATTTTGCATAACTCTTCTACTAAATAATGTT